TGTGGCCTCTCCCATTTGCGGAGCACAGGCTCCGGACGCGCAGGCCCAGCGGCCACGGCTCACGGGCCCAGCCGCTCCGCGGCATGTGGGATCTTCCCGAAACGGGGCACGAACCCGCGTCTCCTGCATCGGCAGGCGGACTCCCAAGCACTGCGCCACCAGGGAAGCCCTGTGCTTATTTTTATACACCTTCTTTTTTCAGTTAATTCAAGAACATGTTAAATATACTGAGATAGTCCTTACTTCTTTTTATAGTAATGTAGTGACTCAATCATAATAGTAGTAGCTGTACTGCAGTAGTGGTAGTTGTTGTTCTAGTAAACATTTGAAGTGCTGTACATAAACATTACATTTCGTGGGCACTGTTATAATTCCTGTTTTCCAGGTGTGAAAGTAAGATGCAAATAGATTAGCTAATATGCCTAAGGTCACAGAACATGTAAAAGTCTGATCCAGGATTTGATCCTGGCCTAGAGAACTTATGACCCTAGCCACATGTGCTATGTTGCTTCTTAACCACCTAAGGAGGTCCAGATTCAGTAGATCCTTGGTGGAGCTTGGGTCCCATCAAATGTATTTTGTAAAAGCTTTTCTTATGATTATGATATTCACTCTCAGTTAAAAACTAGTGCTTTACTATGGAAAGAAAGGAAGTCATAGGAAGAGAAGCCATAGCTGCATGATCCCTTTTAAAATTCAGTATTACTCTCAAATGTTGTTATTAAATCTAAGTGGTAATATGAGTAGTTATTGTACTCTTCTTTCAACTTTTCTGTATGTTTGAAATTTTTCATATAAAATTTTAGGAAAAGGTGAGAAGAAAATTAAACTACAAAAAATAAAAATTCAGTGTATGTGCAAAAAGTATTTACTGTCCAGGATACCATTGGTTTTAAGACACACCACTGAAAAATAAAATTTTCCACCAATTTATGACATGTCATTGATTGTACGGTGAATCTGGATTCAGAGGTTTTAAAATGTGGAATAATATGCATCTTATAATTGATGAAGTATGGTATATTAAAGGCAAGGCCTTGCAATTTTAACTGTCTAAATGAGTGGTACAGATAACTGACTACTTTAGAAGTTAATGAAAGTTAAAGTTATTGAGGAAGATCAGATTAAGCTTTTTTGAAAAGACTGAACTGCTTCTTGAAAGTTATCTAGATTCTGAATATAGCAAAATATGGAGGACGGGGCTATGTGAGTGACGGAACATGAGGAAGGGTTTAGAGTTAATAATAGATGGAGTTTTTAGTGGAATTAGTGTAGACAGAAGCAGAAGGTGGTGTTGAAGAACTGTGAATGCAAACTTGGATGACTACAAAGGTGAATCCAAATTGGGCAAGGATATTTAGGTTTCTTTGTTTTTGTAAGGCTAATTATTCTAGATATTGCTCTCATTTACTGAGAATGTGGGTTTCAGGATTGTTGTAAGATTTGAGTCCACAAGTCACAGTGTTGTATTTCTGTCTAGGTGGAAATAATGTAAGTCAGGAACAGTTAAGAGTTCATATGATAAAGGGTGATAATATCCCCAGAGTGATGTAAAAGTAGAGGTAAGAAAGACTGAGATGTTAGGGTAAGATTGTTTTTGGTAACAAAAAGGCTAGCAGGTGGGAGTTTAGTAAAAGAACAGGATTTGATGGCTGTGATTCTCTCTCCAGGAACTCATAAAATGAGATATCAGTATCAGCTTTCATATGGCAGGGCATTTCTAAAGAAGATTCATTCCATAATGTCAAAGTATAAAGATGGTTTATTGTACTTCTTTCTAGAAGAAGCCTGCCAGGTTGATGAACAGTTTGAGAGACAGGATCAGGATGACCAAGATAAATATCTGATGCAAGTTGGATTCCCTGACAGGAAAACAATTACCACCAAGAGTGGCCTTGACTATAATGAATTTGGAAACATACTTCATCTGAATACAAACCTTGTTGCTTCAATACAAAGGCCCCATAAATATGAGTCATTTGGATATAATATGGTAGATAATTTAGATTTATTTAGTAGAAGCTCTGCAGGAAAGAAGCATGATAATGAACATGCAAAATTATTCTTCCATACTGAGTATGAGAAAACAACTCCTGGAGTAAAACCCTATGGATATAAAGAGTGTGGGAAGACCCTCAGGCAAAAGAAAGGTCTTAGTCTACATCAGAGAATTAAAAATGGAGAGAAACCCTTTGAATGTACTGCATGTAGGAAAACCTTCAGCAAGAAGTCACACCTCATTGTACATTGGAGGACTCATACAGGAGAGAAACCCTTTGGATGTACAGAATGTGGAAAAGCCTTTAGCCAAAAATCTCAGCTCATTATACACCTGAGAACTCATACAGGAGAGAGACCCTTTGAGTGTCCAGAATGTGGAAAAGCCTTCAGAGAAAAGTCAACTGTCATTATACATTACAGGACTCATACGGGAGAGAAACCTTATGAATGTAACGAATGTGGAAAAGCCTTCACTCAGAAGTCAAACCTCATTGTCCATCAGAAAACCCACACAGGAGAAAAAACTTACGAATGCACCAAATGTGGGGAATCTTTCATACAGAAGCTTGATCTAATTATACATCATAGTACTCATACAGGAAAGAAACCCCATGAATGTAATGAGTGTAAGAAAACTTTCAGTGATAAGTCAACTCTCATTATACATCAAAGAACTCATACGGGAGAGAAACCTCATAAATGTACGGAATGTGGGAAGTCTTTCAATGAGAAGTCAACCCTCATTGTGCATCAGCGAACTCATACAGGAGAGAAACCCTATGAATGTGATGTGTGTGGGAAAACCTTCACCCAAAAGTCAAACCTTGGTGTACATCAAAGAACTCATTCAGGAGAGAAACCCTTTGAATGTAATGAATGTGAGAAAGCATTCTCTCAGAAATCCTATCTCATGCTACACCAGAGAGGTCATACAGGAGAGAAGCCCTATGAATGCAATGAATGTGAAAAAGCATTTTCCCAGAAATCATATCTCATTATACATCAAAGAACGCATACAGAAGAAAAACCCTATAAATGTAATGAATGTGGCAAAGCCTTCAGAGAAAAGTCGAAGCTCATTATACATCAGAGAATCCATACAGGAGAGAAGCCCTATGAATGTCCTGTATGTTGGAAAGCTTTCAGCCAGAAGTCACAGCTCATAATACATCAGCGAACACACACAGGAGAGAAACCCTATGCGTGCACTGAGTGTGGTAAAGCCTTCAGAGAAAAATCAACATTCACTGTACATCAGAGAACTCATACTGGAGAGAAACCCTATAAGTGTACAGAATGTGGGAAAGCCTTTACTCAAAAGTCAAATCTTATTGTACATCAGAGAACACACACAGGAAAGAAAGCCCATGGGAAAGGCCATACCCGGAAGTCTAAGCTCATTGCACATTAGAGAGTCAACAATGCAGTTATCTTCGCTGAAGGAAAGTTTTGTCAGTTTAAGTAAACATTTTAAAAGTATGTTCTGACTTCTGGTTTAAATATGGGGAGTAAAGTCAGCCTTTTTTTCTTTCCATCTCAGTCTTCGCCCAAAACTACTAGGAGAAAAAGAAGTGGACGTGTAATCTCTGTATCTGACAAAATTAGGAGATCGCTGAAACCCTGATGAGAGGGCTACCAGAGGCAGAGGAAATCAAGCACCAGTGCAAGGAGATTTCAAAGGCTAGAGAGGAGTGGTCAAAGCTGCAGATGTGAGATAGCACTGGTAAGGACTCTTAGCCGAGTTATAGGCTGAGTGCAAGACCAAATAGATACATAACAATGGTAACAGAGAGCATGGGCAGGTGGGACGTTTCCTAGACCCATTTGGAGTCTCAGGAGAGACAGGGGCCTCAACAAGGAATTGCTCAGACAAGCCATATTTGCGAAGGTAGTCTATACTCATGAGAGAAGCAGTTGGCAGGGGCTGGGGAAAGAGAAGGGAGTGTTCTTGTGAAGAACCCAACAGCTGCCCCTATTTACTGACTCTGGAAAGTCAAGTCTGAAAAACCTACCAAATGCAAAAGTAATTCCAGTTAGAAAAACTTTGATCTGCCTAGAATGTGGCCCCATTTCTTCCCTTACATGAACTTCCAGCAAACAACAAGTCCAGGAAAAACTGTTATTCAATGAGGAATGAATCCAAGGCAAGCAAAACCATAAATGTACATGGCTTTTGAGCCAGCAATTCCACTTCTAGGAATGTATATACTCATGCATGTACAAAATGATGAACACACAGAGGTATTCAGTGATGCACTGTTTGTGAAAACAAAAGATTGGAAGCTTTCCACATGGCTCCTGAAATCATGGAATGTTCGCACAGCAACCTTTTAGGTAGACAAAAAAAAAAAAAATGGATAAAGAGAACTTGGACAACATTGGTGTAGTGATGTGGGATGACCTCCAATATACATTATTAGAAAAGCAAGGTGCAGGATACTGAGGATAATATGCTACCATTTGTAAGTAAAAAGGAGAACAAATGGTGAATACATAATTGAGTGTATATGCATAAACTATCTCTGGAAAGATATACGAGAAGCTGGGAACCCTGATTACCTCTGGGAAAGGGAAGGGGAAGTGGGTGGCTGGAGGGAAGGAATGGGAGGGAGACAACTGTATATCCTTTCAGAACTTTTGAAAATTGTACTATGTGGATGTACTACCTTTTCAAAAAATAAAACTTTTTGAAAAGCATATTTTCTATTACTATTCTAATGAAGTCAGATTCTAGATGCAGGATTTCATAACATTTAGTATAGATATGCTCAATGTGGAGTTTAATTTTTTTTGAGTGAGTAAATTGAATTATCAGTCAGACAAAACAGATATCCAGCCAGTTCCAAAGGCACACAAGCATTGCTTTCTTGAGGTTGCCAAATAAAGTGATTCTAAGATCAGCTGGGACTGAATTATGTAAATCTACAATAATTGAGACTGGAACACATTTCTTATTTAGTATGCACAGTGACATCTGTGAAAATATCCTGTACTAAAGCCTGCCAATGCCTTTCTATATCTTAAAACTATTTAAATTACTTCATTCATGCATGTGTATGTATTCTTTTTACAAGAGATATAAAGCATAAATCCACAGAGAGGTTGAATAACTTGCCCCCCAAATCACACCTCTGCTGGTGACAACATTTTCCAAGGTGAGAGACAGATTGAAAGCCATGATCTTAATGGATACAGCCAAAGTCCATGTAATAGCACTTTTGCTCCAGAAGGAGAGGTCCCACTGTATGGATGACCATATTTGTGGCCCTCACCCTATTGTGGTTTTTCACTGAGGCCATCTCTGTGGTGGAATCAAGCTTAGTAGATGCAAACTATTACATTGAGAATGGATAAACAGCAAGGTCGTACTGTATAGCACAGGGAACTATATTCAATATCCTGTGATACACCATAATGGAAAAGAATATGAAAAAGAATGTATATATGTATAACTGAATCACTTTGCTGTATAGCAGAAATTAACATGACATTGTACATCGACTATACTTCAATAAAATTAAAAAACAAAAGAAACATTTCATCCTCCTGCTGATAGAGAATAATCCTGGGTTTTCAGGCCCATCAAAGGTCACCCTTAAGTGGGATGGGGATGGGCGGTCAGATCTGCCATTTCAGGTTGATCTTGGACTCCTGCTTCCTGGGGCCCAGATGGCAGTCTGATGTGATGGGCCATGTGTGTAAGCAGAGGTGAGTGAGGCAGGGACCCAGAGGGGAAGGGGTGGAAATCTCCAGCAATAGATGGGAATAGCAAAGTGGATCTGGGGGTCATCATTGATAAGAAAGTAGTAGTTAGAGGAAAAATGTGTCTTTGTGGCATTTTACAGCTGCTGTATGAATTTAGGAGAAATAGTATTTCCTGTTAACTTGCAATTGCCTTTATCTGTACCTGTTATGCAGTGCTGCCTTTTTCTTTCTCACTCTGAGCTGATTTTCACTCTTTCTGTCCCAGAGACGTTTTTACTCTTCACTACCCCTTTTGGCCAAGGGCAGGTGAGTTCAACTATAGAATATTATTCTGGAAAATTCACATCTTCACCATTGTCTGGGTTACATTGATCTAAAGATGGTTTGGAGAACGTAATCTGTAGTTGGACAAATGTCCATTCTTCACATTCCTCCAAAAGCACCTTAGTGTTGCATCATCAGAAAGGACAGTGGCTGCACAGTAGCATTTAGGACTCTGGAGGTCCCACATTTAAACACTGTAACACGAACACTAGGGGAATGATTATACTAAGATTGTGTAGTACACTCCTAAGTCAAGAGCCAAGTTTACCCAAGTAAAGGAAAAGAGCAGATCCCATTCCTAATCTGAAGAGTATGCAGAAGCAGATATTGGTGGACTAGCAAAAATATCAGATACATTGATTTGCTTGTTTGTTTCTCTGATATTTTTAGTAATGTTAAAGATCCCAGAGAACCTATTGGAATATAGGTACAACATTCTTCCACCTTGAGAGGCCAATATTATATCTAGAGTGGCTGTATGCTCAACCACTGCTTGTCTGATTTCATGAACCTCTCCTGCAAGGAGTTCTATAGTCATAGTGACCTTGTCTAGTTTTCCTGCTGTTCTCTGAACAATAGTATGTAGAATTTCACCCACTTTTCTGGCCTCTTACAAAGTGTGGAAAGAAGAGACTTGGTGACAGAAAAAGGCAGTCCAAAATTCCTCTTGAGTAAAGTCTTTGGACTCAAATCAAGGTCCAGTCTCTCTCCTTCTGGAATCAAATTATCTAAAGACTTCTTTCTCTGAAAAGGAAACTTATTGAAGCAAAAGAAACTCTGGGTGATATTAGGGGCTCTTTTGAAGGTAGGCATTAATTGACCAAGATAACAGATGCTGTGCAATTTGCAGTTAATAGTCAGTAGGCATTTATGTCACAAATCCAATACAGTTCTGTCAGGGGCCACCAACTGATCTGTCTTTGGTCAAGATAACCCCTATGGGGTTGTCAAATGGTATTGTAATGTTTTGCAGCATTTGACAAGAGTGGTCCCGTGCCGAGCATTGACAATTTTAGTAATAGAGACTATTGAGTAGATCTAAGTCAAAAGAACTGGGGCTGCACCTGTATAATATGCTTTTTGGTAAGTTGTGTATATGTAAGACAGCCTCATTGCTGTGGCTAGGACATATAGATCAATGGAATGTAATAGAGAACCCAGAAATAAACCCACACACCAACAGTCAATCTTCGACAAAGGAGACAAGAATATACAGTGGAGAAAAGACAATCTCTTCAGCAAGTAGTGTTGGGAAAGCTGGGCAGCTGCATATAAATCAGTGAAGTCAGAACGCTCCCTCACGCCATATACAAAAATAAACTCAAAATGGCTTAAAGACTTAACTATAAGACATGACACCATAAAACTCCTAGAAGAGAAAATAGGCAAAACATTCTCTGACATAAATCGTAGCAATATTTTCTTAGGTCAGTCTCCCAAGGCAAAAGAAATCAAAGCAAAAATAAACAAATGGGACCTAATCAAACTTATAAGATTTTGCACATCAAAGGAAACCATAAACAAAATGAAAAGACAACCTGTGGACTGGGAGAAAATATTTTGCGAACAATGCTATCTTTAAAAAAATTTAAAATATAGTGATTCACATTTTTAAAGGTTATGCTCCATTTAGGGTTATTATTAAATATTGGCTATATTCCCTGTGTTGTACAATATATCCTTGTAGCTTATTTTATACCTAATAGTTTGTACCTCTTAATCCCCTACCCCTATATTGCCCCTCCTCAGATCTGTACTATTTTTATTTTGCACTTAAAACATCACGGTATGAGAGTGACTGTGTTCCCACTCATCAACCTTTTTTTTTTTTTTTGCCATTGTCATAGGTAAAGGATAATAACTCGATGTGGTTTAAATATGTTTGAGTTATCTATAGCTGAGTAACATTATTCACAATTTAGTGGCTTAAAACAGCAAATAGTTATTATATCACAGTTTCTGTGAGCCATGAATCTGGGATTGGTACAGCTGGGTGCTTCTGACTCAAGATCTCTCAAGAGGGTGCAGTCAGGATGTCACCTTGGGATACAGTCATCTGAAGGATCCACTTTTAAGCTAATTCACATGGCTGCTGGACTGAGGGCCTCAGTTCCTTGTGGGCTGATGGACTATGGACCTCAGTCTGCCACACCACGTGGGTCTCGCAATAGGGCTGCTCAAAACATGGAATTTTTTTGCCAGTGTAAGTTATCCAAGATAGAGTGCCCAACATAGAAGCCACAGTCTTTTCATATTGGAAGTGATATCCCATCACTTTTGCTGTATTCTCATTAGAAGTGAATCAATACATCTAGCCTCACTCAGGGGGAAGGGATTACACAAGGGAGTGAACAGAAAGTGGCTATCGTTGGGGCCATTTAG